AATAAGCCATTAGTTGATTGTTTTTCCTCAATAACCCTCTAAATGGTGCTTATTTATTGCAAGTAAGGAAGTTGTTTGGTCTTAATATGCTCAATATGGGCCTAACAAGGCAGTAGTACCACATGAATAGTAATTCCCATAATACATATGATCTATCCTTATGTAACAAGACATGAAACTATAAGTGTTGATTAAGTCTAAATAACTCAAAATTAGGTATTTCTATCGAAGAATATGTTCCCTATTTTAAAGTGAAGTCTTGTTCATAACCAATAAGCTAGTTTGACTCAAATTGACCTGAACAGGTTCCCTATTCTAAAGTTGCCTCCTCTTCACACTTTGTAAATACATTATAGCACGCAACTACTGAAATTATCCTCAACAGCACATGAACAAAGTAGGCACACGTTGAAATATCTGTTTTATTAAACCACTAAAGAGAGGTTCAGACACATACCAAAACATGATAAAATGAATAAATGAGAATCGTATAGTGTTGTTGATCTGTAATATTACAGTGTTACATTGATTTGTTTGTCCTTCTCGGTCCATGCACTACGCATTTCAGTGGTTTTGTGTTAGAAAAGAAAGCAACCAATCAGATCTTGTTCTGGGTCTCTGGGTAGAATATCATTCAACCAAGGTATTCTATATCCTTGATAGGGGCGGCGGTGGGGGGTGTGTGTGTCTACAGAAGGTCCAGTTGTGATAGACACGGTTCGCCACTGGTGTAAGTACATACAAGCAGGTCACACAGTATGATCACAAATAGATAAACTCTGTTAAAAATCAGTTTTTATTAAAAAGTACAGGCTGCATATGTGTTCTCAGCCTTGGAGAAACTTGAATAGATTTTATTACATTTTATTTATATAATTAAATCGATTTTTTGTTTGTTTTATCTGAGTGTTCCAGGGTATTCTCTGAATACCTTGAAGGCCCTGACGGTTTGCCACTGACTTACACAATAGGTGTAATGTTTTCTCTATGTGTTGTACTGTCTCAGTGTGAACATAGATTAAACAGCCAGCCAAACTCTTTTGAGAGCCAGGGAATGAGCCGCCATGCTCCTTTATTGAATTATTTGCAGTCCACTGACATTCAAACGGAGTGAAACTATAAAAAAAGAAGATACAAGGCACTTAATGATCTCATACATACAAGTGTAACATACACAGATTAACACTTAGGACCGCTAAGTGTAAACAAGGTAAATATAGCTAATGCTAGCTGTAGCATATCCCTCCGAAATATGGTCATAGACTTTACTGATGATTTAGAATTTATTGAAACTCCAGAGTCAACGTAAGAGCTATAAAGACACAAAAATAACAAATACATTTAGGCCCAATCCGTATTAGAATCACTTGAGCATACTACCAAAAGTTAACTGTGAACAGACAGCAAAGCTACAAAACAGCTTATAAACGAATTAGGACACAACCTACCATTTTATATTATAGTAAATACCAACCTTGTGCCTCTTCGGGGGGTGCTAACATTTAAACATACATTTTATTCTTTACTTTCTCCGTCTTTATATGTAAAAGATATTTCTTTTCGCAGTCATGTTGTTTCCATAGCAACAACAACTTCCTGTCAACAGTGTAAACTCGCCTTCAAAATAAAAGCATCTAAATAAAACATGCTAGCGCGAATGCTAACGCTAGCGCGAATGCTAACGCATTTTCTCATTGAGTTTATACATCTCCAAATGTCATCACATAAACACAATACATGTACACTAATCCTTACAGTGTAAGTAGTCATCATTGCTTTCTGACGGACTTGACCCTTTTACTCTTCAGGTTGCATTGGGAAAATTAGTAGCATTCTACTGCCTTTCTTGGGCGGTGTCCGTCAAACGAAAAACGTAGAGCCAATCAGGAACTGAGAATTTAGTCCAACTTCCTTTTCAATCAAACTCACTTCCTTTTCAATCATACTCTCTCACACTCATAACTATTCTTATGCACACACCCTATCATTCTGTTTTATACACATACCTATAGTCATTCACATGAACTATTATTACCTCTTATAAGCTATCATTCGGCCTTTCATTCACTGCTATTCTGTTTTACATATATGACTATTGTTATTAACATGAAATACTATTCCCTCTAATATAGGTTATTATTCTGTCTTACATACATTGTTTACCGATTACACACATACTACTATCCTCTTTCACATACACTATTATAATGTTCTATTAGATTATAGTTGTTTGTGAAAGACGATAGTGGTGTGTGTACGAGAGTATGATGCTGCGTTTAAGAGATTTTGTTTTTGTGTGTGAGAGAGAATAGTTATTTATGTATGATAGTATGATAGTAAATTAAGGAAGGAATGACAGTACGTTAAAGACGGTATGATACTGTGTGTTAAAGAATCTGGTGGTGTACATGTGAGATTCTGATATTGTTTGTAAGACCAAGTATGAGTTGTGAGCTAGACGGCCTCTCATATTTTTCTGTGTGTGTGCAGGTGGCCATTTTTTATAGTTTATATTAGGGCTGTCAAGTTAACGCTTTAACCCTGGATATATAATATGTTATATATGGAATAACAAGGCTATAAGAAAACCATGGGCGTAGGAAGCATCCTCAATGTGGGTGGGATAATTTGACGGGCAGGTGGTGGACCTCACATCCTCTAGGGGGGATTTCTTTTTAAATGTTGAAGTTAAATGCATTAATCTGGTGCATTTTGAGAGCAAAATTAGGGACTAAATCTATGGATACATCTCTCAACAACACCCATGTGAAACAGTACTGTAAACAGACTTACTTATTCTTTATGCATATTTTACATATCATTCCCCTTTTAAACTGTATTTTTGTTTTACAGTCCTGTAGTATGAGTTGGAATTATTTCATACCTGTTATTCTCTTATTTTGTATAATGATCATATAAAAGGTGTGCCTTGGAAATACTTGTTTACATGAGATAACTTAGACTAAAGTTAACGATCTAAACACTCAGAGAGTCCTTTACCTCCCTGAGCTGACGTTATAAGATTTGTCTGACAGGAGAGAGCTCTCCTCCTCCTTGTTGTAGAAACAACTCCTTTGTGTACGTTAGCGCTCTCTCGTGCGCTCTCTCGCTCGCTCACACAAAATGCGCTCGTGCCACATACACAGCCGAGCTTGATTGACACACAAAGACCCAAAATAACTTTTAATACTGTATCCTATTCTTTTCGATGACTTTATTGTATGATCATATGACAGATGAACAGATCGCCACTGGGCTTACAACTAAAGACACAGCTACGCAAAAAACGCAGCATGTGTACAGCAAATGTGTACGGCTCTGAAAATCTGCCTTGGTACAAAGTAGCAGTGAAAACATGGTACGGAATTTCATTGATTTGGGCATTCTCACAATAAGCAAGTGGAATGGATTTGATAATGAAGCACTGACACAGCGCTCTACAAAGAGCGGCGAGTGGATAGACCGATTCACGGACTTTCCACATGGTAAAAGTGGGGGGGTCTAAACTAATCATTTTAAAAGGTGGGGGGGGGACTTATCCCACCCTCATATAATGGCTGTGACGCCCATGGTTGAAACACAGCATAGTAAAACAATTCTTCATAGTTCAATAAACGACAAGAAAGTCCCCTCAGATGTTAAGACCTTTATAGATGCATGCAGAAAAATATAACATTTTAAAAGGTTAAGATACACAAGGAGGTAAAAGGTATGATAATAACAAATGAAATACAGTGTTACGTTCCCTCCTAAACTAGAGGTACAAAGGGAAGTAACAACATATAAAAATAACCGGGAGAGAGGAAACTGATTTGGCTGAATTTGTAGTTAATGTTTACTTTTTTGAAAAGGAAGAAGGCTCACCAGCCAATTTACAAAACAAACTTAAGATGAACTGAGAACAACTTTCTCCTAAAAGAAAGTGACTGAAGTACTCAATGCACAAAGATAAACTGGAGCACATCTCCTAACAATGAACAAGTTAAACAAACAGGTCTCACACAGAGACATCACACTACACATGCTGCCACGTCACACATGCAGCCCAGAGGAGAAGGATTATGAAAACTAAATTATGATTTCTCTCAGAAAGATAAGACACAAGACAAGTGAATAGATTCAACAATATAAAACCCTATCAAATAAAGTGAACATATAGGTACAACAGAAATACAAATACTAATTAATAGTAATAAAAACGTCATAATTCTAATTAAGGTTAAACGATTAAAATGTAAAATAAAATAACATAAAAATAAATGTTTTTATTGAAACTGTTAAAAAAACTAATATAAGATAAAAGTAAGTGAATAATAAAGACTAAAAAACCATTTAAAGTTGGGGGTTGCAAATAATAAGCCAATCTAAAGAGATTTGTCTTTAGCTGGCGTTTAACGAGGCTAGCAGTTGAGATATAATAAAAAAAAAGGGAACAACAAGGCTATAAGAAATCAATGGTTGAAACACAGCATAGTTAAACATTTATTTATAGATCAGGAACCATTACAAACATGAATTAAATTGGGAGAAACAGCATCTCTGTGGCCTTGTGTTGGCATAGCGTGAACGCTGGTTACATTATATTACATTACATGTCACTTGTTAGACGCTTTTATCCAAAGCGACTTACATACTCAATATTAAAAACTAACAAATTACATAACATAACATAACAAATTGCTCCTGTGGGCAATCCCCACAGGAGCAATTTGGGGTGAAGTGTTAGAACATAAACAACTGTTATTCAGACTTCAATTCAGAAAGACTCTTAAAATATATCAATACAGCTTTCAGGACATCAGGAGGAGGAAACAGCTAGCTTGGCTCTCATAGTTGTTCAAAACGATACAGTGTGAATGCACTTGTGGAGTTTAAGGTGAATATTTTGAGGAAAAGTTTTCCCACACTCTTCACAGCTGTACGGTTTTTCTCCCGTGTGAATACGTAGATGTTTTTTGAGAGCACCTGATGAAGTGAATGTTTTCCCACACTCTTCACACCAGTACGGTTTCTCTCCTGTGTGAACACGATGATGGTCTGTGAGTCTACTTGAGGTCGCGAACATTTTCCCACACTCTTCACACCAATATGGTTTTTCTCCTGTGTGAACACGGTGATGATTTGTGCGAGCATTTAATGTTCTGAACATTTTCCCACACTCTACACAGCTGTACGGTTTTTCTCCTGTGTGAATACGTTGATGTTTTTTGAGTTCACTTGATGTTCTGAACATTTTCCCACACTCTTCACAGCTGTACGGTTGTTCTCCCGTGTGAATACGTTGATGGGCTTTGAGATGATGTGATTGAGTGAATTTTTTCCCACACTCTTCACAGCTGTACGGTTTTTCTCCAGTGTGAATACGTTGATGTGATTTGAGAGAACCTGATCTAGTGAATGTTTTCCCACACTCTTCTCACCGGTACGGTTTTTCTCCAGTATGAATACGCAGGTGGCGCTTTAAATGTCCAGATGTTGAAAAGGATTTGTCACATTGCTGACAGCTGTGACGTCTCTCTCTTCCTTTCGGTTTCTAAAACAGACGGACAGAGAAAGAGAGAAAGTAAATCATAAAGCATAAATACATATACAGTTAACACAATAAAAACTTGCTTAATACAAACCTTCAGTTAACAAAATACTTTTTTTACTAACTGTTTGTGTTTATTATATTTGTATTATATTTGATGCAGTAATACAGCAACGTTCTAACCAAAGTAAACAGCAACGTTCTTTATTGGGAATGAGATGTCTCTAAATCTTTTAACTAAATAAACTACCCAGTAATAAAACTTGTATAGCCTTTTTTTTAATCATTAGGTTTTAAAAGTTGTAAAATGCGCTAACAGCTGAATCCAGATGTATTTTCTCTCTCCATTCATTCTACTGAGCTGAGTGAGGGAGATTGGAGGCGGGGCTTAAGGGAAAACTCAACTGCGCATGCTCTATGCTCTCGACAGCAAGGCATGATGGGTAATTTGTGACATTTTGCTCTCGAGAATGTCAGGCCATTTTGTCTTCATGTGCCAATGAGCAGCTCTCATAACAATGAACGAGGCCTCCGATGCAGTATCCAGGTCTTATTAAACATCCATGAGTGAGACACAGGAGAGCTGGAGCTTGATGGCAAACATATTTTCTTTTTATTTATTCTACTAATTCATCCAAAAAATAAAAAAGTATAATTCATACACACAAAGATAAACAAAATGAGTAGAAGCGGGAGGGCTGAAGCATAGCTTATGGGAAGTAGCCCTCCCGTGAATCATCCTAATATAACATTGGCATTATTGCGTGAAAAACGTGTAGAAATTAAGGAGTACAAAGAAATAAAGAAAAACTAGTGAAAAAATAAAATTGAAGTTAGGGAAAAAAAAAAATAAAAATGCATATATATATATGAAAACTAGATATAGGGTCATTTTCTGCACATGTCAATAGCAGTTGACTAACTTTTTTGAAAAGGAAAATACTATATATAAAAATATATATATGTACACATGTACTTGGCAAATAAATAATAATAAATGCATATATTAATATATGCATATAAACATTGTGGACACTTATTTACAAGTGATTTTCTTTACATTCATATGTTCACACATACACAAAATATACACAAGCACCAGGTGTATAAGTACACAAATGCACTCATATACACCAATACAAATATTGATTCTGGGAATACCCAATATTTGTTAGCTGGAGTAATCTGCAAATATATCTTTTTTTGAACTTAGTTTTTAATTGTTGATGACAAGTGATACTTGAAAGGTCTGGGTGAAGTCCATTCCACGTTCTAACTCCGATTATGGATAAGCCGTGTGATTTGATGGTTGTTCTACAGCAGTGGTTCTCAAACTTTTTTCAATAATGTACCCCCTTTGAAAAAAGAATTCAGCCAAGTACCCCCTGATCAGCGCAAAAACTATTTGTTAAGGAAAAAATGCCTATATAAAGAGGTACAGTACAGTGCTGCACCACCAGTGTCTGATTTATTAAAACAACAACATTGTAACTGAGAAACACTTAAATGCTACATTTCAAATGTTTACAATCCATCACTAAATCCATTAGACGACATTAGTTGCATTGAACTGATCTTTTTAATAAGTTGTAGGCCTACTTACAATTTAGTGAGAAACATGGGCTTGTGCTTCACTGAGGATCTTTGTCATTCTCCGTGACAGGGAGGCAAACTGCAGTTATTACACTTCACGTTTTGAAATATGTGTAACTCTGTTAATATAAAACCCACACTGCTCAAACTTCGTTACTTTTCCTAAAATTGGTATATTTCACACTCGGACACTCCACTCAACGGTCCGCTGTGACGGACCGTTGAGTGGAGCAAAATTAAATACACTAATGGCGCATTTCCACTACAGTGTGGGGCATGTTTTTGGTTGCGTTTCCACTAGGCGTAGTACCGACTATTTCACAGTTTTTCTGGCCCCATAAAATCGAGGTTCTTAGCGGGCCAACAACCAGGCTGAGTTAGGCTGCGTATGCTAAACTAGAGAGAGAGAGAATCGCTGGCAAGGGGGCTACAACTACAACAAAATGAACATATTTGACCGTGATTTAATTGTAATACACGTTTCAAAATGATGCCGAAGTAACAACATACTGATACCGGTTAGTAAAAACCATGAATTAATGCTTTGTCAAGTCTGCAGACAGACGGCAGGAGAAAAACCTTTTAAAATGCGTGTTTTCTAAATGGAGATTGGCTAAGCTAACGCAGTATATGCTCCGACCGTCCCCACTCACAACAACGGCCTATACAGACATAAATAAAGCAGCGACTGTATTCACCATGACACAGGCAGTCTGTGGTTTGTACTTGTTTAACTTTTGTCTAGTTTCTGAACAGATATGAGGAGCTGTGAGCTCTGAGTGCTAACAGCTAACGGCTGTGTTGTTTTTCTGGGGATTGCATTGAAGATGACGTCACGGCTCCGCCTACACTGCGTTACTATAGATACTGCCCCAGCTACTAAACTGTAATGGAAACGCAGCATAAAGTGAGCCTGGCCTAACTATACCGTATTGCATTGACAGATTTGTTACAGATTTGTTACTGTTCAGCTTCAAGTTGAAGGACTGTTTGTAGATGTTGTTTTATACTTTTATATGTATTGGGTCTTTATGGTCCATGTGTTAAATTAATACACAGAACTGTTCCTGAAAATTGTGTTCACTCATAAGTGATGGTTAAAATACACACAGATATTTCTCAAGGCCCTAGCACTGTTTTTAAGGTATTTTTTTTTATTTAAAAGAGTTATTTGCTATACTATATATATTTTGAGTTTTCTATATTGTCCCTTAATAAAACAGTGATTTGCATTTAAATTGTCAGTGTTAAAGTGCTTTTGAATGTTTACTCAATGTTAACTTAGGGATTTTGAGTTACAGTTATCTGAAAATATTCATGTAATCGGTTTTCAAAAAATGTTTTAAGTACTCTACATTCAGTCAGTTTTGAGTACTAATCAATTGACGTTTTTAATTCATATCGCATTTTATACAGCGAAAAGTTTTTTAGTTAGAGATAATACAAATATTCAAGTTAAATATATTTGATTTTCATTTGTACTGTGCTAACAAAATAGCTAGTTGAAAAGATATGAACATTTTTAAGTCAACAATACTTGATCTTTATACGTACAGTGTTAACACAAATGATTAGTTAAAAGAAACTTAATATAATGTTTCTTTAACTTACAAACAATATGTTTGTGTCCCTTGAAAATTACTACTAAATAGAACTCAATTGATAAGATTATACTTTAACTTAGAACATTTCAGTTAAGGTATAAGTATTACTCAAAAACTTCTATGTAATCAGTTTCAAAGAAATGTTTGAGTTCTATTAACTTGTCAGGTTTTACAGTGTACTAAGCCGAGCGAGGCCCTGCAGTGGAAATGCGCCATAAGAGTTAGACCTAACACACTTAGCTAGTTTATGGAACTAGCTAAACATATATTTATTTTTTACTGTCGGGTCACTTATTACAGGTTCAGCGAGCTGCACGAGACTGACGGGCTGTCAGGAGAGGGAGAAGAAAAGAGAGCACCCCGTTTATTTTTTCCATTTTATTATCCAGATTTACTGTAAAGCTACTAATAGTAGTTAACCTACTATTAGTAGTTTGTTTAAATGCATGAAAAACCTTTTAAAATGCGTGTTTTCTAAATGGAGATCGGTTAAGCTAACGCAGTATATGCTCCGACCGTCCACACTCACAACAACGGCCTATACAGACATAAATAAAGCAGCGACTGTATTCACCATGACACAGGCAGTCTGTGGTTTGTACTTGTTTAACTTTTGTCTAGTTTCTGAACGGATATGAGGAGCTGTGAGCTCTGAGTGCTAACAGCTAACGGCTGTGTTGTTTTTCTGGGGTTCTCATTGAAGATGACGTCACGGCTCCGCCTACACTGCGTTACTATAGTTACTGCCCCAGCTACTAAACTGTGATGGAAACGCAGCATAAAGTGAGCCTGGCCTAACTATACCGTACTAAGCCGAGCGAGGCCCTGCAATGGAAATGCGCCATAAGAGTTAGACCTAACACACTTAGCTAGTTTATGGAACTAGCTAAACATATATTTATTCTTTACTGTCGGGTCACTTATTACAGGTTCAGCGAGCTGCACGAGATTTTATTATCCAGAATTACTGTAAACCTTTGAATAAAGTAGTTAACTATTAGTAGTTTGTTTAAATGCATTACTTATGTTGTTTTTTTCATTAAAATAAACAAAATCTCCCGTTTTTGACAGTTTAGTTTGTACATAATTGATATGGTTCTTCAGGTTGAGTTTTTCGTCAACAAGCAGTCCTAAAAATGTACATGCATCAACTTTTTCTATCTCGGTATTGCAAATACGTATAATGCAGTAATTTGTACTCTCAGACTTTGTATTGAATAATATGTAATTTGTTTTGGCCACATTAAGGGATAATTTATTATGAAGTTACAGTCCGAGAATTGACAAAAACATGTGCTGCAGACACGAGGTGACACAGCGGTTGCCGACCAACTCTGAAGATCTCTCCTCCAGTCCCATGTATTTAGCTCTGAGAGAATAATCAACACGCTGCGTAACATCTTGCACTATTTCTATTCTATTCTATTTTATTTGTATTTACTTGCGCATCTTAAAACATTCTCTTGCACTGTTTTATCTGTTCTATGTCCTATATATATATGTTGCACTGTTGGAGGAGCCTGTGACTTCAGTTTTTCATTGCCTTATCTACACTGTAACTAATGTGAAAATGACAATAAAGCCTCGAAACTTGAAACAAGATCAAACAAAGCACTAAAACACCTCTATCAGCTGAGGCCAACAGGCAGGAATAGGGA